CATGTACTCTGGTAACTTTACTGGAAAGGTAAAATTATTTCCTCGTGCATATGCATGTCCTTATGTTGTGAAGAAAACTCAGAACGTTTGAGCTAATTCCTATCAATTTTGAATTTTTTATGAATTTTTCAAGTTACTGAAAAATCGGGCTAAAGTCCCTGTACTTCAGTACAGGGTAAACATTCATTAATCACCTAACCCTCCCCCCAGTTCTGCAGTTCAATTATTTGATTTTATTTGTAGATTTGGTTATCTAATGTTCAGTGTAATGGATCTGAGTCTAGCATATTCGATTGTCCTCATCAATTTTCAGGAGACACTTGTACTTCAGCTAATGATGCCAGTGTCATTTGTACCAGTACGTTACATACCTTAGGGTGGGTATTAATTGCGATCTTAAATTTTAGCATTTTAAAGGGGACCCTGATTTAGCGAAATGTAATATTAGTGAAAATAGGAAGAAAATTAATGGTAAAACCTCCATTCAATAGCATAACACTTCTCAAGAAGCCCAATCTACAGTATACATTCAAGAGCAGAATACTTAATAGGATCACCCTATCTACTGTTATCTTGTTACAGATCTTGCCTCTCTTGTGTACTTGTTTTAGTGGTGGGCGATACTAGCCAAAATGGATTCGATACGATACCAATCGATATCAGCTCATATCGAGAATATCGATACAGTTTTGATACGATATTTAGACCACACCTATGGAGTCACACCCCTTATTGACTGTTTTCATGCATGTGTATCCATGTGTGTGTATTATACGTCATTAACTTATTAAAATTTTCATTATTAATATTATTTAACCATAATAATTGGGCGTGGTCAATATATCGATCCAGATTCCTTCAAGATTTCGATACCGATACGAATCGATACCGTAAAATATCATTTGAATCGATAAAATATTGATATATCGCCCACCACTAACTTGTTTACACAAGTACATAATAACTGTTATTAGCGGCTGGTTCAATTAGCGGTTTGAAGTACATGTACACTTGCTAAAAATGCTAAATTTAAGTGTCGCAATTAATACCCACCCTAAGGTATTTATATTACTAAATGTTCAAATAAAAGCCCAGGCGTTTATTTCTTTGCAGGACAAAAAAATTGTGTAAAATAAAAAATGTGTACAAATGTAAAAATAAAATGTGTATAAATGTGTACACGTACATGTGTATTATGTGCCTTTATCTCAACCTCTCTCTCTCTCTCTCACTAGATATTCCTATTAACCCGTATCCTGTTAGATTATCTGATGGTATTAATGATCACTCCGGTCGTGTTGAGATATTTTATAACAACGAGTGGGGGACCGTCTGTGATAATCATTGGACTATGAACGAAGCTAACGTCGTATGTAGAGAACTAGGATTCTCTGGTAGGTATTATTATTAATTGATTCTATTATATATATATATATATGTCACAATTTTTCTACTATTATAATTTGCAGGTGGCAATTTTAAATAAAATTTCTAATTTTTTATTATTTCAAAGAATAGAGAGAGAGAGAGAATCAAAAGCTTTAATAGATAACAAATGCTACTCTGATGTATGTATCACAATTAACAAAATTTATTTTTAAAATCCCAGCTGGTATATTTCAATTACATTCCTTTCTTAATGACTACAGGTGCTCAAGATGGCGGTGCTCTTGGTGGCTCAGCTAGTACTGCAGGTAACGGTCATATTTGGTTAAGCAACATAAACTGTCAAGGAAATGAGTACTTCTTACATCAGTGCAGCCATGATCCTTATGGCAGTAACAGCTGCCAGCATGTGAATGATGCTAGAGTGATATGTAAAGGTATGGGGATATTATTGGTTTGTCAATTCAAATAATTATACGACCTTTGTGTTTAATGTTTTTTGCAATGGTGAGTGTATTAATGTCCATTAATTTTAATAATTTTTTAGAACTATAAGGTAATCCATTGCCCATTGACAATCATATTTACGTCCATTAACTTAAAGGAAATTAGGTCAATGATTAAAATAGTTGAAGTTTATGGGTATAGTAATTATTAATGGTTTTACACTTTACAGCACATGTGTCTACATGTACATTTGTAATCCTACTTATACTATCTTTGAATTCTATGTACATGTACATGTATATCTTCACTGTTCTCTCTCTATTATATTATAATTCATTCTCTCGATAGCTAATTTTCTCAATGTCACACTTCACGGTTCAACCCCATCAGCCGGTCGTGTCTCTATTAATTACAATGGGCAGGGTTGGGGTACCATTTGTGATACCTTTTGGAGCATAAAAGATGCTGATGTGGTCTGTCGTATGATTGGATATAAATCAGCTACTAATAACTACACCCACGCAATCCCTTATGGACAAGGTACATTGTGTACATGTACATGCATGAATAGTGTTACCGTATAGGGGGTATAAAATTTATGTTTGCTAATTTCACTGTTTTAAAAAATTTGTGAAAATTTTTATCTATGAAAATTATTTCTTATAATACTAATAATGGTCAGTAGAAGAAAAAAGCAAAGATTTTTCTTTTAAATTGCTTGAAAGGTGATTTTCATGAAATATTTTCCCTGGGAAATATATCCCTTATATGGTATGTGCTATGTCATTTATTATATACATGAACATCAGTTAATGCTGGATTTCCTTCAAAGCATGCTAAGTGAGCTTAAAAGCATGCTTTATGAGCTGACAAGCACTACAATACAACAGCATATGGCAACTAGAGCAAATTTAAAAATTCATTAAAAAATCCAAATTTGATCAAAATCTCCTCAAACTTCCTACACAACATAAGAATATGTATATGTATTAGAATAAATTATTAAAAGTGAGAATTCTCTCCTAGTCATTTTTGGCAAAATTTAGCCAAAATCCCTATACTATTATAGTACAGGGACTTTGGCCCAATTTTTGAGTAACTTTCAAAAGTTAGAAAAAAAATCCAAATTTGATCAAACTTTTTATTCAACATTAAAACATGTATGTGTATCCAAAAAAATTGGAAAAATGGACACTTTTTACAGTAATTTTTGACAAAATTTGGCCAAAAACCAAAAAGCTGACCATGATGTTTGGAAATTTTGTGTAATATGATCAAGAAATATCTCATTTAACTTTACTTAGTGTGCATGGCATCTTTATTTATTTATTTATTTATTCATTGTTATAGGTGCTGGTACTGTTTGGTTGGATGATGTCATTTGTACTGGGACTGAGAATACATTGTTTGAGTGTTCTTATTCAGGATTTGGCATTCATAATTGTCATCACAATCATGATGTTGGAGTTGCCTGCTCTAGTATGTTAATGACACATAATTTAGTCAATAGACTATAATACACTAGCATGCATGTACTGTAA